AGAAAAAAAAAAAAAAAGAAGCTGAATTTGGAAAGGACATTTATCCTGGTCAGGGTGCCAAGAGAGGGCTGGGAGGTATCCAGGGACTCAGGCTACTGCCGCTCACTCCCTTGGGGAAAGAGTACAGCACTGGTAATGGAATCAGGCTAACTAAGAAACAGGGCCTTGGCTGAAACTCCACCCAAGGGCAGAAAGAGGACCACGTCCCAGGTTGGAAAGCTCATTTCTTATGCAAGGTAAATGCTGGCACATGTGGGCACAGGTGTTGAGCTGCAGTTCTCACCGAGTCAGATCCAGGTGGACGTGAATACAGTCTTTAGCAGAGATCCAGAGAAAGTAAGTCTGTAGGAAAGAGAGCGGTGGGGGTCATTTACTCCACAGATAGGTAAAACTCCAGAGCATCCATGTCCACACCCAATACTGTGTTCTCTCTGGCCTAAGAGCCCTATACAAAGTTAATTGTGTTTATTTTAGCCTTACAGCACTCGCTGTCTCATTCTTTTCTATAATATAGTTTGTATAACAAAGTGGTTCTCTGTTCCTTAAAGTTTTGCAAAATGCCACCTATAAATCTCTCTGGTCTTGGTGAGATCTTTTTGTGGAGTGGGATGGGATCAAGTAGATTTTTGACTACCTAGTTGTTCTTGGGAACAAGGCTAGCTGCAGGCTAGGTCCTGCTTGGAATAGAGTCTGTGATGACTTCCTACCTTCCCTCTGGCAAGCCTCTTTGTCACCCGGTAAAGCCTTGCTCTTGTCTGGCTGCCAGGGAATCCCTGCTATGGTATTTATTGATGTGAGGTATTTAAATTTTCTTTTTACCTGAGTATTCTTCAAACCCATAAAAGATAAAAGGTTAAAACCATATAAATGGGGCGGCGCCTGTGGCTCAAAGGAGGGTGCCGTCCCCATATGCTCGAGGTGGCGGGTTGAAACCCAGCCTCAGCCAAAACTTAAAAAAAAAAATGCAGCTATAAAAACTATATAAATGCCAAAACCATACATGTGTTGCATTGTGGATAGCTGGGGTGATAGCTGGGGTGATAGCTGGGGTGATGATTCAGAGGAGGGCACCATCCATGTGGTCATTCTGGTCAAGATAGAGGCTGGGGTCTTTTTGGTCCCTTGTAAGACCAGTTCTCTCTAAGCTCAACCAGAAGATCTTTCAAAGTCTTGTTTATGCAATAACAACATTAAAATGAACTTGTTTGAAAAATCCAAGCTACAGGATACCCTATTTCCTGAACAAATATAAAACATAGGGGCCAAGGCTGAGGCCAAACCAGCCTTTTCTACGGTAGGACCCTGGGCTGACACTGATGCCATCTACAGGCACCCAAGGAGGGCAGGCCAGGTTCTAGGAGACAGGGCTGGCTGTCACAACTCACACCTCCTAAGTGTTAACTACTGGCACTGTTAGGTTGAAATAAAGTCGCAGAGCTCTAAGTAGGAGCTCACATTTGAATATTACTTCATTAGGAAGTGCTTCCACATTTATGGGCCCACATGACTCTCACTTCAGTCCTACCCCCAGTTGACCTAACTGCTCAAGGTGGAAGGGGTGGGGTGCAGCTCAGGAAGCCAAGTGTTGGCTTCCTCCTGCCATGTAGGAACACTCCTTCCACCCACCTGGACAACGACAAACATAGCCTGGATGAGGGGGTGCAGGATCTTGATGGCTGACTGACACTCAAAGAAACTGGAGTAGTAGCCGGTCTTGAAGACATCCATAACGAGGGTGCAGATCCCGAACAGCACCAGCCCACCTGGGGATTGGGGGCGAGTGGTGGTGGATCAGGAAGGCAGGGCAGAGGCTTGTAAAGCTGAGAATGGGGGCTAGAGGGGTGGGTGGATGGGTGTGTGGTTACATGGCTGGCTGAACAGGGAGGGTGGGAGGAGGGATGGATGGATAAGTGGATGGACAGGTGGAGTACACAACTCAATGGATGTATGGATGGATGTCGTGCGGACCCCCCCCCCCCATCTTTGGGCTTCATAGACAAGGGCCCTGGCTGGGCTCTTTCAACAGTCGCTGTCTTCTGGTTTTAGTCCCCCCACCAACCCTCGCAGATCTGCCTCCTCCAATCCTCAGACAAGGCAAGGGTGCTCCTCTCCCCCAAGACCCTTCCCTCAACTGCGGCCCACCTTACTGTCAGCCACATCTGGTCTTCCCGCAAGAACTTCTCATGCCCCGCTGTGCCCACCCTGCCCCCACCCCACCTTCCCTGGTACCTCGGAGCCAGATGGGACCGGCGTGTGCGTCCCGGTAGGGCACAGCGTCGGGGCAGCGCAGCGTGCGGAGGAGGTAGAAGAGGATCCAGAGCGTCGCGAGCAGCATCATCGCTGTGAGCAGGGCGAACACGTCGGTGTCGTATACCGCCACCTTGTTGAAGGCTCCGCCGCTGATGAGAGTGCAGGCAAGGAGCAAAACGTTCACGGCCAGCAGCACCGACAGCAGGCGGCCTCCCTTCTTCCACACCTCGCGGGGACCCGCCTGTGGCCCTGGCAGGCTCTCCTTAGTGCCCGAGGCCAGCTCCTCGGACATGGTGGGGGCGACGGTAGGAGGCTGGACGTATTACTGGGAAAGGAGAAGATAGGACCCCACGTCAACACCGATGGCTCTCTTTCCTCCATCTTATGCCTAGCTTTGGGGACCAGGGAGTTCCATACTCCAAGGGTGGGGGCTACAGGTGCTGGAGGAAGCGCCGGGGGAAACCAGAGCCTGCCCGTCTTGGGCTTGTCGGGAAAGAAAGGAGAAATAGCAGCACTCGCTGAGACCCCGTCCAAGGTCCCTGCTCCCCAAATCCGACCGCCCTCTGACCCGGGACACGCACCTGGCTGGGCCGAGAGGCTGTGGAACGATGGGGGTCAGGGGGCAGCGAGCGACTGTTCTCTCCCACGCCGGGCTGGACGGGCGCTTTATACCCAGGAGGGCAGGGTGATTTACAGCCGCAGGGGCTCGGCTCCATAAACCTCTCAGTCCCATTCACATGATCCATCTTTTCTCCCAGCTGAAATTTAGGGAAGCGCGGGCAGGAGCCCGATAAGGTTAGATTTATATTTACCTATTAAGAGGCCCGGCCAGACTCGAGCACGGGCCTGCACTGCGGCACCCAGAAGGCACCCCACCCCTGGCGCCCACTGGCGCGCAGCATTCCAGGCCGCCCAGAACCCAGAAAGCTGATGCCCAAGAAACGTTCCAGGACCTGCAGGCACCCCGACGGCCTTCCAGCCCTGGCAGACCCTATATCTTTGTGTTTCTCTATTGCTGCCCTGAGATCTGGACCCTAGTCCCCCTTCCCCCCGACGGCTCTCGCCGTGATCGAAATTCCTTCTTTCTCTGTCCCTCCCTCCGTCCCCTGCTCCGCTGTGTGCTGCGAAGTCTGGGGCTTGAGCACTAAGTTGCCACGAGGCGAGCTGAGTCTCCTTCTTGTCCTCTCGCGCCACCTGCTGGAGCGGGGCTGACCCACTACGCGAGATGGGGTGGCGCCAGGAACTGGAGAGTGCGATTTGCCCTGTCTTGATCCTCGGGACCCCGTTTAGGCCCACTGTCCTACCCCTTCATGCTGCTCTTCATACATTCCCCAGCTCTCGGCCTGTTCCTTTGACAGGTGGAGCCACAGTGCCAGGGCTCTGCTGGGGATGGACCGGAACCCTCCCCAGACTGGGCTCCCCAGACACGGTGTGGGGCGCTGTGGTGGGCACTTTTGGAGTGAGGGTAGGGCGTCGCGTGGGTCACCGCTGTGCGCGGAGGGGCAGGGTGTTTAGGACCCAGGGGAAGCCCAGGGCGTCTCCCCGGGCAGCTGGAGATCTCCACCCCCCCTTCTGTGAGCAGCTCAGATGTCGCGGTAGCCCGGCTCTGGCCTCCAGACCCTCCGTCTGCGGCAGCGGGGGCTGGGCCCCAGCCCCTGCTCAGCCCCCTTCTCCAACCTCATGCCTCAGCTCTAAGCCCACCGCCCTCCCCTGCGGGGGGCATTCCATCGTGCCCCCTGCCCGTCCCGTCCAAGCCGGGCACCATGAACGACCAGTACCACCGGGCAGCCCGGGATGGCTACCTGGAGCTCCTCAAGGAGGCCACCCGGAAGGAGCTGAATGCCCCTGACGAGGATGGCATGACTCCCACTCTCTGGGCTGCCTACCATGGCAACCTGGAGTCCCTGCGCCTCATCGTGAGCAGAGGGTGAGTACCCCTCTTCTCAGCCCACAGAGGAGAGCCTCCCAGGCTGCCCAGCCCCCTGAGACTACCCCAGACTCCACAGTATCGTTTATCCCCTCCTCTGAGCCCTCTTTCCCCTATGGACAGACCCTAAGGTGGGACCTTGGAGCCTGACATTCGTTGGGGAGTCACATGTGGAGGGGAACACAAGTGGAGGCATGTGACACCTGTGACCTGGATGTGGGGCTGAGAGGAAAAACTGGGATTGGGGGCCCATGATGAAGGAGTAGGTTGCTGTAGGGAGAAGAGGTAGGTGGGTGAGATCTCCTGGGTGGGGGCCACCTGGAAGAAAGAATGAGGGGTGTAGTGAGAACCAGAGAGGAGGTTGAGAAGTCTGAGGGGCCAGCAGTGAGGACTAGAAAAGGAGGGGCTCTGCATTGCCCCTCCCCAGCCTGGGATTCAGGGGCTTTCCCTGTCAGCCCTCACACCTCCGGGCAGGCCAGGTCTCACCCAGCTCTCTGTCAACCGGCTCATCCTTGGGATTTATGGGCCCTGTCCACAGTACCAAATGTCACGGCTTCATCCACCCCATTAACTCTCTCTGCATCCCACCACCACTGCAGGGCACAGCTAAGCAATGGAGAGACTGTGATGTGCTGGCTCTTGCAGGGGTGTCTCTCTCTTCACTCTCCCATTGGAGTTGTCCTGAGGGGAGGGGAGGCAAGGTGTCAGGGCCAGGAAAGGGGTAGGGAGGTAGCAGGTGAAGAATTCAGCCCAGGGCTACTGAGGTAGGTTCCTCAGGGCTAAGTCACACTCCTGCAACAAGTCCCCACATTTTAAATAGTTTTGTAAAGAGAAGTCAGGTTGGGCTGGACACCAGGGTGGCCCAGATAGGACAAGGGGTGGCAGGGATGCCCCAGGAGGGTTAATATGAATGTCTGAGGCCTTGAGGCTGAGGTGCCAGGCATAGTCCTGTGGTCTAAGCACATGTGTAGGTGGGGGAACCCCTCTCTCCCTCTCTCTGGCCTGCCTTCCTGGGCCCAGCTGGAGGCAGTTGAGCCACATTCCAAGACTCACTGGCCCCTCCCCACCCCAGGAGGGCACACAGCAATGTGACCCTCTACCCCCCCTTCAGAAAGGCTCCTGGGAGAATAGGGAGAATAGGGTTCCCCCTTGGTAGACCATCCCCCTAACACCTACAGAGGCTAGGATTGGTGCTCCTGGGTGGCAGGCAGATGCAGGGGAGCTCCTCCTCACATTGTCCTGTGGGACTTGGCACCCAACAGGGCAGACTGAGGAGGGGCTATGTGGGGGAGCTGTGGAGACAAGGGAGCGATTCTTCCCCCAGCCCTAGGGGGTAGCCTGGTGGCCTCATTAGCAGTGAGGGGTAGGGGTGCTGTGCTGGGCCCTGAGAGAGAGAGAGCTCTGAAGGAGCCAGCAGGAGCCTGCCCTATGGAGTGGGGCACAGTCTGGTGTGGAGGATACTTGAGGGGGTGATCTGGGCCCCTGGACAAGCTCAAGTCAGCCAGCCTCACAGGGCTCTGGAAGATGGGGCAGTCCACAGATGGGAGGGGGAGGGTTGCCTGCAGGGCACAGGCAACCAAGGTACCTCCTCCTCCTTGCAGTCCTGGCTGCCCCCACACTCCCCTTCAGGCCCAGGCCAAGGCTCGACACCTGTGCTCACACTCAGGCTTGCCAGGCCTGGCCCTGCTCCCTGGAGACATGGCCGTGCCCACAGACACGCAGGCACACAATTCACACATGCACAAGGCTCAGGCCCAACACACAGCACCCTCTTGTCCTCTTCAACGGTCACTTCGAAACACACGGCCACATTCACCACCACCTGCCTAGAGACCCAGACTCCCCTGGCCCACCACCTCTCAGGGCCAGCTCCCCGCTGGGCACCATGAATAATTCACTTCTTTCTCTCTGGGCATCAAATATTTATCCCCTGAGATTCCCAGCCCTTGGTTATCTTGGGGAAGGCCCCGCCCTAGCCCCGCCTCCTCTGCCGTCCAACCCCCTGCCTGCCTGTGGCCTTTTTCCCCCAGGGCTCCCTCTATGGCCCTTTAGTGGCTCTGACCTTTTGTCTCCTGGAGTCAGAGAGGTCTCAGGACTTCCGTCCTCCTGCGACCTGCGGGGAAGCTCAGTCCGCCCTCCCTGCTCACTCTCCCTGCAGGGGTGACCCAGACAAGTGTGACATCTGGGGCAACACGCCCCTGCATCTGGCAGCTTCCAATGGCCACCTGCACTGCCTGTCTTTCCTGGTATCCTTCGGGGCCAACATCTGGTGCCTGGACAACGACTACCATACGCCGCTGGACATGGCCGCCATGAAGGGCCACATGGAGTGCGTGCGCTACCTGGACTCCATCGCGGCCAAGCAGAGCAGCCTTAACCCCAAGCTGGTGGGCAAGCTGAAGGACAAGGCCTTCCGCGAGGCAGAGCGGCGCATCCGAGAGTGCGCCAAGCTGCAGCGCAAGCACCATGAGCGCATGGAGCGGCGCTACCGGCGCGAGCTGGCCGAGCGCTCCGACACGCTCAGCTTTTCCAGCCTCACGTCCAGCACCCTGAGCCGCCGGCTGCAGCACCTGGCTCTGGGCAGCCACCTGCCCTACTCCCAGGCCACGCTGCATGGCACCTCCAGGGGCAAGACCAAGATCCAGAAGAAGCTGGAGCGGCGCAAGCAGGGAGGCGAGGGCACCTTCAAGGTCTCCGAGGACGGCCGCAAGAGCGTCCGCTCACTCTCGGGCCTGCAATTGGGCAGCGACGTGATGTTCGTACGCCAGGGCACCTACGCCAACCCCAAGGAGTGGGGCCGCGCCCCACTCCGGGACATGTTCCTCTCGGATGAGGACAGCGTCTCCCGTGCCACACTGGCGGCCGAGCCTGCCCACTCGGAGGTCAGTACCGACTCAGGCCACGACTCTCTGTTTACCCGCCCCGGCCTGGGCACCATGGTGTTCCGCAGGAACTACTTGAGCAGCGGGCTGCATGGACTAGGCCGCGAGGATGGGGGGCTGGATGGGGCGGGCACGCCGCGAGGTCGGCTGCAGAGCTCCCCCAGCCTGGACGACGACAGCCTGGGCAGTGCCAACAGCCTGCAGGACCGCAGCTGCGGGGAGGAGCTGCCCTGGGACGAGCTGGACTTGGGCTTGGACGAGGACCTGGAGCCTGAGACAAGCCCGCTGGAGACCTTCTTGGCCTCCCTGCACATGGAGGAGTTTGCTGCCCTCCTGCGGCAGGAGAAGATCGACCTGGAGGCGCTGATGCTGTGCTCTGACCTGGACCTCCGCAGCATCAGCGTCCCCCTGGGGCCACGCAAGAAGATCTTGGGGGCAGTGCGGAGGCGGAGGCAGGCGCTGGAGCGCCCTCCTGCCCTGGAGGACACAGAGTTGTGAGTGCCTGGCCTGGGGGGTGGAGTGGACGATGGAGGTTGGAAGGCCCCTGGGGAGGGGTGATCTGCCTGATCAGGAGTGGATGGGGGATAATGTCATGCTTCCTAAAAATCTAAGCCACCAGCAATTCCAAGAAGCCCCACTATTTTACTTGCCACCAGCTCAGGAAAAAAAAAAACTGCCAATTTAATCGTCACTGGAGGCATTCCTTTTTTTAAATTTTGAGACAGAGCCTCAAGCTGTCACCCTGGGTAGAGTGCTGTGGCATCACAGCTCACAGCAACCTCCAACTCCTGGGCTCAAGCAATTCTCCTGCCTCTGCCTCCCTAGTAGCTGGGATTACAGATGTCTGCCACAATGCCCAGCTACTTTTTGGTTTCGACCGTCATTATTCTTTGGCGGTCGGGGACTGGATTCAAACCTGCCAGCTCAGCTGTATGTGGCTAATGCCACAGGCGCTGAGCCTGGAGGCATTCTTATTACAACTATCATAAAATGCACCTTGAATTTGGCAATGTGGAAAAATAGATGTCTTAGTCTCGATGATACAGTAGCCACAGTAATTACAGCTGGGATGTTTTTGATCAGGTATTGGGCTGAGCCCTTGAACAAGTCCTCTTGTTTAATGCCCCTGAGCTCCCCAGTGCAGCGGACTGTACCATCCCTGTTTTCAGAAAGAAGCTCAGAGTGTAGGCGCAAAGGGTCAGAATAGCTCACTTTCAGGTCCTCCAGCTGCCCTGTGTGGAGCTGTGCCTGATCCCTGGTCTCTGCGGTTCTGGAGCCTGGGGACAAGGAGACTCGTGTAGGTAGAAGGTGTGGCAGTTGACAAGTCCTCTCAATTGCCTTAGGTGTTTTATCTGCTGTCCTGGAACCCTGAAGGAACATTCGCAAATGCTCCAAATAGGGCCGACAGCACCTTGAAGACAGAATTGTCTTGTTCAAATAGCCACTACACTGGCCTCCTCCACACTGCTTGTGCTGTTGGTGGGTCCCTACCATGGCCCCTCCCCCATGGCATCCCTGGAGCTCAGCAAAAACTGCCCCTTCTTAGGTATCTATGGCTTTTACCCAAAATGGCTGAGGCGGCGATGGTGTGGAGAGGCATGCTGGTTTAGAGTTTGGGGAATAGAGGGATCACCTTAGGCCAGTGTGTCCCCCATCCCTGACCATCAGCCCTGCCTAGAGAAGATGAGGGTGACTTATTCAAATGGCTAGTCCTGCTTAAAAATGATGTCTGCCAAGGAGGCCCTCATCTCAGGTCTATTTCTGTCTCTTCCTCCACAGATAACCAGGAGCTCCTCTCCTCAGACCAAAATGAATTGCAAGTTGCCACAACCCACAACAGTGGGACCCTGAAGTCCTCACAGCTGCCAGCCCTGCAGCCCCCTTCCCCAAGAGCAAGGTCGACTCCTTTGAAAGCCTGTCCACCCGCTGAAGCAGAGGCTGTGGCCTGGAGGCACCCAGAGGGACATCCCAGAGCACATCTGAGGGCTCCCCTGAACCTCCCCATTTGAGCAGCCCTAAGGGACATGTGACTGTGGGGAAGGCCAGCCTCAGAGGGAGGGTGGGGTACCAGAGCTAGATGGGAGAGTGTGAGAGGGGCAAGGGACCATGGCCTGTCCCAGGCACCATGGTCTCTGCCAGCCCTGCTGTGAAGGGCCTATCTGTTTGCTCAGGCTGGAGACTTGCTCACTTCCTATATTTTTGTGAAGGGAAGAGTTTGGGCTGCCTCCCTTCCCCCATACACCCAGAGGGGAGGCTCCCCAGGTAGACTCTTCAGCCAAATGCCTTTTCAATCCCACCCCATGGCCCGTGGAGCTGCACAGCCAGGTTGGTGGCCGGGGGTGACTGGCACCCTTTCCGGCTCTCCCTGGGCAGAGGCCAGCCTGTCCTCTTCCAGCCTTCTCCTCCTTCTTTGTGCAGCCTGGTCTCCCCAGGGACCCCAGAGGGCTGGACGCTAGATACAAGGTGCTAGTCCAACAGTCTGCAGTATTATAGCCCTCAGGCCTGGTGGCACGCGCTGGCCTAGAGAAGAACAGCTGCCAACTGCCCCAGAGTCTCCTAGGCCTGAGACAGACAAAGATGGGGCCGGCTGGGTGTCAGGCCTAATGTGGGCAAAGTCCTGGGATGCGACACTGGAGGATGTGGATAATCCAAACTGCTGATTATCCTCAGGTCCTCAGGGCTATGTGTGTGTGCACTGGGGGTTGGTTAGTGGGTTTCCATAGAGCTCTGAAAGGACTGGGCTGCTTCATAATTCTGCATGGATTGTGGGTGAGTGATAGCTCACTCATGTCCCAGCTCTGTGATGGAGGTGAGGCCAGGAGAAAGGCCAGCCCAGAGGGTGCCTTTGTCCTCAGAGCTCGACAGCCAGACTAAGGGCACATTCATAACCCATGGAGTTGTGCCCTTCCAACTATGTCAGCGGTGGACCCTCTGTCACTTGGGAAACAGCCCCTGCTGGGGGCAAGGCCATAGCCTAGCTCCTCCCTGGGCCCCCTTGACTGGAGCAGAGGAGAGAGCCTTCAGTGGCCTCTCTCTGGTCTGTCTGTGGGGGGCCCCATCCACACACATGCCCAGAGCTGGGGGCATGAAGGAGGTGGTCCCTGTCCCACTGCAGGACACTCAGAACTTGGTTGCCTGCCACTGCCACCAGAGCCCACCCAAGCCCTTCTCCCTGTTCTCTGGGCCCAAGCCTGGGGCCACCTCAAGTGCCGACTCTTCTTTCTTGGAGCCTCAGGTGCCACTTTCTCTTCTGTTCCTGATCCACATACTGCCTCAGCCCCTCCCAGGTCTCCCGAGAAGGGATGGGCTCTGGGGTCCCCCCATTGTACCACCAACCCCTCCCTCAGACTCATTATCACTTTTATAGAGAATGTTCTCCATCGTTGTCATGCCTGTGTCTTGTTCTTTAATCTTTTGGGGGATGGGCGGGGGTGGGAGAAGGTTTTCTCTGCCTGTAAGGGTTGAGTCCTATTCCCTGAAAGGGTCCCCAGGCCCCCACCTCAGGCATCTCTGCAGGGATCACTTCCCCTATCCCTTTGGCTTGCTCTTCTAACTCTGTCCAGAGGGGCCATAGAGAGGCAGGTTAGGATAGCCAGGGGCAGGAGAGGCCCCCCAGCTGAACGAGAGTCCAGCCTGTTTCCAGGCCCTGCAGCTGCTGAGGGCAGGATAATGCTTCCTTTCTTCCCACTGGCACCTTCCTGAGCTTTTCCAGGGATGGGTAGAAGCTATACCAGTGCAGGGCTGCCACCTGTCACCCAGACTTTGGGCTTTTTACCCTGGGGAAGCCTCTAGAGAGGCTTCTGTTTCCCTGACCACTGCATACAAGTCTTGGACAGCCTGATTTAGAGCCCTCTTTTCTCCTGGGGTTGAGCTCCTTAAGCCGGCAGACAGTGGGGGTGTTTTTTCAGTCAATTTGGAAAAAGACCACAAAGTCACCTTGCTCCTGTTCCCTAAGGATGCTGGGTCAAGAGGAGTTCAAGACAGTCCCCTTTTTGCACATCAATCACAAAGGTCCACAGGGTGTCAGTGTAAAGTTCCCTAGCAACCATCCAGAGGTTCTGGGCTACCACCGTCCATGTTACAGATGGAGAAAACAAGACCAACAAAGGGGGAGGTCCAGACTCAAGACTTAGGCTGCCAAGGGAGCCAAAAAGACCCGATTCCCGGTGCCACGCCCCATGTTGTGTATCCAGCGACCCCTGCCGGCCACCCTCGTCACTGCACCTACCTCGTGAAGGACCTGCTGATCCCTGATGCGGTGATCCTAAGGAGGACATGGATGGAGTGAGGAGGATTCTCAGGAGACAGAGTGGATGGGAGCTTCAGGGTCCAGGCAGAGACTAACCAAAAGCAGCGAGACGGGGGTCTTCACCGCCAGCGTGGCTCGAGGTTGGAAGCCTGGAGCCTGGGAGCAGGGAGCGACCTCAGGGAGCCTGAGGATGTTAAACACAAGCAAAGGGAAGAATCTTACGTGAAAGGGACTCAACTTTCCTGATTCATTTTCCTAAAAATTTGGATCAAAGCCACAGAAGTTCTAAAAGTTTAGAGTAGTCAATGGTTCTTTTGAGATTAGAATCTGGTAAAAACAGGGACTCTTCTTGGAAAAATGTATGTTGCACACATTCGTATGCAATGTTGCTCAAAATTCCTGGCAGCTCAAAGGGCTGAAGAGCCGGGAGAGGTCCAGGGACTGCATGGATTAAGAAGCTCTCGTTAGGTGGGCGGCACCTATGGCTCACTGGGTAGGGCACCGGCCCCATATACTGAGGGTGACGAGTTCGAACCCAGCGCTGGCCAAATTACAACAAAAAAATAGCCAGGCGTCGTGGCAGGTGCCTGTAGTCCCAGCTACTTGGGAGACTGAGGCAAGAGAATCGCCAAAGCCCAGGAATTGGAGGTTGGAGGTTACTGTGAGCTGTGTGATGCCATGGCATTCTACCGAGGGCAATAAAGTGAGACTCTGTCTCTAACAAGATGGCTGTGAGAATAACACATCCTAAGTGAGATTACCTATCACTGAGGCAGGGGTGATGGAGTGATTCAGAGGCAGGAGGCCCTGTACACTATGTGGCCCAATCCTCCTACTTTACAGATGAAGCAACTGAGGCCCAGAGGGGAAGGGGCTGGCCCAAGGTCACAGAGCAGCCAAGTGGGCAGAGTAGCACCAGGACCTTCTATAGAACCTGCTGTCTCCTGTCCCTGTGTGACTGTTCCAGATGGTATGTCACCCCTTTCCCCCAGTGGGTACTATGTCACCCTCTCTGAGATAAGTCCAGGTTGTATGGACGGTGGCAGGACTTAGGGGATGGCCAGGTCTGGGTGACAGGACTTAGGGGATGGCCAGGTCTGGGTGACAAAGTGGCTCTGCACCTCTTCAGCTGTGTGGTCTTGGCTAAGTTACTCAGTGTCTTGTTTCTTCATATGTAAAATAGGTATTATGATAATAATGCCACCCCTACAGGTTATTAGGAGGATGAAATGACAAGGCATAACAAGCACTTGGCACACTACCTGATAGTGCACATCTGTTAATAATGGTCATGGTTATTGCTGGTCTGAGACTGGCCCTTGGGATGCTCCTTGCATATACAGTAAACTCAGCCGTCCAGCAGGAGGCTCCTAGGCAGACCAGAGAAAGTCCTGCTCTGTTCACCCCATAGGAGAGTGTGCCCTTCCCCCAACATCAGTATGGCTCCTGGAGAGGTCATTTTAAGGCATCCTCATATGACCAACAGGGGCTATTGACAATCCAGCCAGTGGCTGAGAATGGTCAGTAGCCAAGGCTGGGCCCCCATCCAATGGGGGAGCCTAAGCCTAGGGCTATTCCTAGGGTGCCCAACGCACTGGGCACCTTTTCTGGGGGGGAGGGTTGACAGTCACTCCATTATTTTACTATCCGAACTTGAGAAGTTATCAGAAGTTTTCTTTGCACCTGTGAGGTAGGCAGGGAGGGTTACTGTTAGCCCATCTTCATAGATGAAGAGATTGGGTATCAGAGAAGTTATGGGACGTTTCCTCAGCCTACCTTCATTCTGAAGGCTAAGATTTCAAGTTTTTACTATCAATTATTGAGAGCTCACAGGGTATCATGTGCTTATGGCAAGTATTTTATTTAACCTTTGCAATAAAGCCACAACCCTCTAAAGCAAGTACTACATTATCATTATTACTCCCATTTTATAGATGGGAAAAGAGAGGCTCAGAGCAGTGACATAACATGCCCAAGGTCACAGGGCCATCAGACCTCAAGGCAAGATTTCCCTGATGCTGAAAGCTGCTCACCTGTCCATGGTTCTGTACTGGCTTCCATGCACGTGTACCTTTGGTGAGGGGTGGCTTTGATCTTGGGTCCTCTGGGCCTGGGTATGCCTGTGTCCTAGGTGGATGCCATATTGCAACTTTAGCAGTCCCAGCACATAGTCTGACCCACATCATGCACCTGCTCTGGGGAACTCGGCTGAGAGAGCAGGATGGGACATGAGGCCACAGCAGGATATAGGGGAGCTGCTTAGGAGGGAGAAAGCTTTGTGTCTCCAGCTTGTTGAGATGAGGGAGGGAGTTGGAATAAGCTTTCCATCTCACTCAGGGAGTCTGCCTGTCTCCCTTTCTGTCTTATGTCTCTTTGTCTCATTTTTTCCTGTAACGTGGGGTCCTCTGGCCCCTCCCGACCTTCCTGTCAGACTACATTTCAGGCCTCAGTCTCTCTTGGTGTCTTTCTCTGAGTCTTCTTCCTCCCGCTTGCTCAGGCTCCCTGTTCTCACCTGTTTCCATCCCCATCTCTGTCCTTCACGGCTTCCTCCTTTCCTCAAATTTCTGTGGTCTTGGGGGCATCTCCAGGGAACCCAGTATGAAAACCAGTGAAGCAATGCCTGGACTACCTGAGTCTGAAGCTGTGGGTTCAGATCCAGAGCTGGTGCTGCAGAGCAGTCACCTTGGTCAAGTCACATGCCTTCTGAAAAAGGGACCCAAAGTTACCTTTCAGGACTTAGCTGCCATAACATATGACTTGCCTGGCACATAGTAGGTACACAGGCCAGGTCTAGGCCAGGCCAGGTCTTGCCTCTGGAGGATAGTAGGTGTGATACTTACTGTGACCTAGGCCTTTCAGTCTTGCTTACTTGGTCCCCAGCAAACCCCAGGAGGGAGGCACTATTACGTTTTTTTTTTTTAATATGAGGAAACTGAGGCACAGAGATGCTTGTAAAATGTGCCCTAGCTCACACTATCGGGAGGCAGTAGAGCTGGAACTGAAACCCAGGCTGGTTCCCTGCTATGCCATGTGTCATCATGACAATGAGCATTTATTGGGTACCCGCTGTATGCCAGCACTTAACATGTATGATTTTAATTAATTCTCATGACAGCCTCATTAAATAATGACAGGGGCTTATTAAACCCACTTGACAGAAAAGAAAGCTGAGGCTTGAGAATATGAGGTCATCGCTTGGGTCACACAGCCAGTAAGAGCACAAACAGAGCCTGACTCCTCGTCTACCAGATGCTCTAGAGCTGCACCCTGGTCTGGTTACCTCTCATCACCCCACTTCCCTGAGAAGTTGAAGGCAGTGAGCCCTCCCTAGGTTTTATTGCTGAATGACTAACCTGATGAGATTGGGAGCCCAAGGTGGGGAAACTTCTGGCAAGTTCTTTCAGAGCCACCGATGTCTGGCCTTAGAGAAGGCCCTTAGGGCCATGCCAGGGTGGTAAGGCCCAAGAAGCCCCGGTTCCACCTTCACTCTGGCTTCTTCATTCTCTAGGTCTGCATCAGCAAGCGTTCGAGATGCTCTGGAGATGCCCCAACTGGGCCAATTGCTCCCCTGGACCCCAAATAGGGGTGGTGGGTGTCCTGGCAGGCAGAGGTGGGGGTGTCTCAAGGATGAGAGAGGGTGAGGGCAGCTGCCAATTCTGACCCCTGCCCCAACCATTGCTGCCCCTGGGGGCTCTGTCTGCCCCAGGATCAAACCAATCCTGTGGTATTATTTCTAGTGGACAAGGGCAAAAGGCATTATTCGCTACTGATTAGCCCCATGTCATAGATGTGGCAAATGACCCTCTAGGAAGCACACACACCATTCACATTGCTCCACGCTGCCAGATGCATTCTCAAAACACGTGTCTCCATACCAGGAGCAGCACACCCATGAGAGTGATCTCACTGCCCTACCTCTCAGAAAAGGAAACCGACTCAGGCAGGCTAAGTTATTTTTCCAAGCCTCTGAGTGCAGAAGTGCCCTGGTGTGGGATTTGAGTTCCACACTCCAGCTCTTTCCATGGCAGCACAGCCTCCCTTGGCTCGCTCCACAGAGCCACCTCCCCAGGCTGCACCCTGGTGCAGGGGCTCCACTGGCAGGACTGGAAGGTGGGATGGATAAAGGCAGGTGGGACCCTCTGCCTCCTCTTCCTTGGATCCTGAGTGCCTTGGTCCTGTTCAGCTTCATGTGAGCACATGTGTGCCTGTGCAGCCTCTGTGTGAGTGTGTGATTGTGTGTGCTGTGGGTGAGGACACTGATGTGTACCTTTGTGAACCTGGAGTAGACATAGAGGGTCCAGAGATTTCCTGGGAAGTTGTGTTTATTTGTGAGCTGAGTGTGTGTCTCTGGTTTTACTTGTTTGTCTTTGCTTCTGTGCCCGCAAAAGGCTTTGTGGCCTTGTCAGGAGTCTATTTTTAGACCCCTCCTCCCTATTGTCTATTTTTAGGGCCCCAGTTCCTTCAGAATGGAGGGTTGATGATCCTGGACACTCCATGTCCCCTTACCCCATCCTTTATCCTGTACCAGGTGTTCGCAGAGAAGGTTCCCATAACCTCTTTCTGGTGGGGGAGCTGGCTTGTTGGGGGTCCCAGCCCTAGGGACGGGTGAGGGCCTCCAGGGGTAGAATGGCACATGGGATGGGCAGAGACACCTCTACCTCCTGGTGCACCCTGGGTGCCTAGGGGTGTCCTATTTGGATGCACAGCTCTGCTACTTATTAGGAAGGCCAAGTCGCCTCTCTAAGCCTCAGTGCTTCCATCCATAAGTTATGCTCCTACTGTAGGCCAGTTGTGAGGGTAAACATGAAGTGCTTAGCTCAGATCTCAGCACCCAGTAGGTGGAGGCAGGGACCTGGTGGGCAGTGGGCATCAGCCAAGCCTGGGCAGTTCTGAACCAGTGGCAGAGAGAACTGGTAGGTTGTTCCCAAACATCACTTTCTGGGTCCACTGTACCTTTTGCCTGCTCATTATTGCGGAGTGGAACGGCTTAGCACAGCCCTGAACCACTAGCCCTTGAAGGATGCCAGGGGCACAGAGGAGAAGGGAACAGAGAGAGTGAGCGGGAGCGGGTCCCCTTCCTTGGGCCTGGAAATGAAACCATTTATTATCTTCATTATTGATACCAATATATGCTAGATTTAAACCATATCAGCTATTCAGCATAACAATAATGTTATAATTACATTAGCACAGGGCGCGGCAGTAATGATAGTGATATTTACCGTGAACATGTGCCCTGTGGTGGCCCGGTGACGTCCACAGTACAGAAATTGTCTCACTTTTCTCTACCAGTGAGGTAGGTGGCATCACCCTCATCCACTCCAAACCACCCTCTCAGAAAAGCGAGGCTCAGTGAGGTCAGATAACTTACCTATCGTCACACAGCAAGAGCTAGACCTGGGTGCATCTGAGTGCAGTGTCCTGCTCTAGCTGCTGCTCTCAGCCTGTCTCCACACTTTGCAAGAATCTCGGCCCTCACCCTGCTCCCAGCCCTGGCAAAGGTCCCCTCAGGCCCAACAAACATCTCACAACCACACCCCAGAGTCGCTGACACAGGAGACTGTCTGGCTACCTGATGTGGGGGAGGAATGGCTGGTCCTTCACCGCCAGGGAGTCTGCACTGCTAACAGCTCCAGCCCTGGGGTTTTCAACAACCCAGTGTGCTATGTAGCTTGGAGAGTAATCTTGGGCCTCATTTTCTTTCCTGCAAGGTGGGGAACTTTAGCAGAGGCCCCACCAGCTCAAGCTTGGGTCCCTCCATCACTCCTCTCTCCCCTGCCCTACCTCTCTGGGCCATCACTGACCTGGCTTGTCTCTGAAGAGCAGCGGCGGCCTGCTCAGTGCAGGTTTCAGGGTCGCTGCAGCAGGCCGAGGGCAGGGTCTTGAAGGTGAGGCTGATGCTGAGACACTGCAGATGGAGCCCTGCCCTGCTGGAGCCAGGAAAGCTCAGGATGCCAGTCCCACCTGCAGCTGGCTGAGATCTGAGCACAGGCCAGGTCACTTCTCCCCCAGCTCACCCAGCCCCACCCCTGTGAATAATGCCAGTTGCTTCATGGAGCTGGGCCTCTCTGGGGCTTTGATGATTTGGGTGGGGGGTGACCCAAACAGGGGAGACAAAGAAGGGTTAAAGACCCAGCCAGCTAGGCTTAAGGCATAGAAATGGTTAAATTGCTGGCAGGAATCACCTTCCTAAGCCATCCTGTGCCCTGGCCCCCAGCCCCAATCCCAGCCCTTCAGGTCTCCATACCCATCTGACTCTGGGATGCCCCTCCCCCAGGCCAGGGCAGGTCTCCTTCCCATCTGCTCAACCACAACAACAATTAACCCCAGTGAACCCCAGCAAATAAAGATTCTAATCACAGAAGAGGAGGTCACCACTACCCCAGGAAGGGAAACTCCAAACCCTGGTTTATCTGGCTGCGCCCTGCCCCAAGGTTATGCCTGAGTGGGCTCAGAGACCGCAGTCCTTGAGGGCCCCACCCCTTGGTTCAGGCAACCCATGAGAAGACTCTCCTGTCTTAGCTTTGGACCTGAGGCTTCTCTGCCACCTAATCTATCTTTCTTTCTTTCTATCAGACAGAGTCTCACTATGTTGCCCTTGGTAGAGTGCCGTAGTGTCACAGATCACAATCACCTCAAACTCTCGGGTTTATGCCATTCTCTTGCCTCAGCCTCCCAAGTAGCTGGGACTATAAGTGTCCGACTCAATGCTCGGTTATTTTTTGTTGTTGTCATTGTTTAGCAGACCTGGGGTGGGTTTGAACCCGCTAGCCCTGGTGTATGTGGCTGGAGCCCTAACCACTAAGCTACAGGTGCCGAGCCCCTACCTAATTTTTTTTTAACGTTCTATCTATTCCTTCATTCTCTTGAGCCTATTTTTCCTAATCTTTCCATGCATCTGTCTATTCATTTACTCAACAAATGCTTACTGAGCACCCACTATGTGCCCAGCACAGTGCAAGGCCCCGGGAAGCAGTGCTGTCCACGGAGCAGGAAGGACCTATCTCTCTGCCCAGTGGGCCCCTTCCTCCCCACCCCCTCCACCAGCCTGTTTGACTCTCACACAGCTGTTCCCTGGCTGGTAGATGGTGAACACTGCGTGCAAGACAGTGACAGGTGGGAGATGTGAGCGGGGGCAGGCAGGCTGGAAATTTCAGAGGAGGTCCTGGAAAACATAAGGAAGGTGCGTGCAGGGTCTTTGCCCTTTAGAAGTTCACACCAAGGTAGGCTTGGGGGTGGAGCAGACCACTTGGGTCATTTACACTATCTCCTCCCCCTGGGTGCCCAGGGGGCCACAATTCCAGGTTCGGTTGTGGGTAGGGAGGGTCTGTGAGCTGGGCTCTGGCTGACTGAGCGCGGGCAGACCTGATGTGGCACGCTTCCAGTGCTGGACCTGAAAAGACCTTCCCATGCTCTCCCTTCCACGACAATCCCAGCACCCTGCATTGGAGACAGAGGTACCACAGATGCGAGGAGCCTGAATCCCCTTGTCGCCACTTGAAGGACAGCCACCTAACCTATAGTGGACTTTGATATGAGCAAGAAATAATCACCGTTTAGCCACTGAGATGTTGAGGTTGTTTGTTACAGTACACTGCAAGCCAGTGGTACTTGCCTTGAGTGATGCAGACAGACCCAGCAGACACAGACCTTGAATCCTGGGGCTGGATCCCAGTGTCCCAGTGTGCTCATTGCTGGGCAGTGTGTGACAAGTGATGTCTAATGCTACCTAGTGATATGAGGGATGAGGTCAGAGGAGAGGAAAGATAAACGGAGTGCTGGGCTTTCCAATCAAATTGCTTGAATGAGTGAAATACCTGCAAACCCCAGATGGGGGTAAGGGTAGAAACAATTACCCCGGGAATATAGACCTAGAGGTGAGGAAGGCAACACCTGGCCTTGGGTCCGAGGTCAGTGAGCAGTCCCTGGCCCAAGCAGGGTAGCAGATGGAGCTGGAGCTGGAGCTTGAGCTGGAGCTTGGGGCCCTCAAAGGCCACGCTGAGCAATTTAGACCTTTGGCTGCACACTATGATAGCCTAAGGTCTGGAACCTTATGTTTGCAGAAGTTTAGAGTGGTCTTCAAAGTGGGTGTACACAACAACTATTGGGGTATAAGAAGAAAATAGTAAAACTCCCATTGGTATTTTTCTCACCCCTTTAAATGTCTGTCTTTAGTGAATATGAAGATTTGGAGGCTTAGAGAGGTTGAGTTTCTCATCCAAGGTCACACAGCTAGTCAGTGTGCCTGACTCCAAACCCAGCTGTGCTCTTCACATACGCTGAATCTTGTTGCAGACAGGTGAGACGTTAAGTTGGGGCAGAGGCAGTTCTAGGGGAAAGTGGCCAGGAGAGTAGGTAGCCCTCAGCCCTGGCTGTCTCTGCCATTGTGGGCAGAGGTTGAAGAACCTGCCCAGGCCTGTTCATTAGGCCCTCAGGAGCCTGCTAAGAGAAGATAAACAGCCCAGATGGGTGCAGTCTCCCAGCCAACCCCCCAAAACCTCCCATCCCAGGCTTGGACAATTCACCCTCACCTTAGTGAGCAGGACCCTGGAGCAGGGAACGGTAGGACCAGGGGCTAAAAGGTCAGAATGAGATGACAGAGAGGAAGGGGAAGAGTCTGAAGGGGAAGAGTCTATCTAGTCTCTGGTGGCAGCTGGAAGGGGTAAGTCCGCCACTGTGCCACCAACACACGCTAAGCTGCCAATCCCACGGCCCAGGGAACAAACCTACACGCTGGCCCCACCCTGCCTTCCCACACTCCCCTGTGCTGAGTTTATGGGTGATTTTACCTACTGATTTATACCTCTAAGAAAACTACTACCAGT